TCTAAGAATGTTCAATAAAATCACGTGAATACGTGAATTGATACAAATAATAAATTTTTTTTGGTTTGCAATACTTACGAAAGGTCATTCGTGTGATCGCTGAGATTCATGTCGATTGGATCGTCAGATAATGTCCAATCCAACTTTGAAGCTTTTCCCTTATGTCTTGAACGTTTAAGTTGAGGACCTTTTTCATTATGTGTTGATAAATCATCAAAATTATTTTCTTCTAATTCTTTGAGAATTTTTACGGGTTCTATGACACGTAAATAAAAGTGTAAAAATAAAAAATATATATATATCGAAAAATGATATGATAAACACGAATACAAACTTGTTTTTTTGGTGAACACGTTCCGAGTGAAAGAAGATCGTGTAAAGAAGCCGTCCTCATCATCACAAGTTTTCGTTTTTTTCGGTTTGCTAGGCGAATCAGGCAAATCGGTATTATCTAATACCTGTTGTGATTGTATATTATCAGCTAGGGTTAATTCAGCGTGTCGTGGTTGTGTTTTAATCGTTCGCGGCTTTATCTTAGCGACTTGTCGTTTTATGACTATTTCTTCCTCGGACGAAGACATTTTGAAGCTAACGAAATTTATTCACAAAGAACAACTTTGCTCAAAACTAATAATGGAAATAAATGACAACTGGTGTGACAAACTAGAGTCCGATACCCTCCGTGATATACGCCGGGTAGTATAAAATCGGAAATTCAAATGCTCTCTTAACGAGAGTTTATATAAAAACATATAGAACAAAAACATTTCGTGACACTTGTTTTTTTAAACAATCACAGCAAATAAGACTATCTATAGAAACATAAATTATAATTGAATATTTTTTTTCTCAGTTAAAGCCAATCCTTCTACGTACGTACATAATTAATTAAGATTTTCGGAAAATTTAAGTTATACAAATTTTTGAACACCAGTGTGACGTGTGATCAGTCATATAAATTTCCACAATTGTTCTCGACCGCAGCATTCATTTGACTTTACACGTAATTACCATTTTTCTTTGTATATTCGTCTTGATCTAAACTCCTAGCAATTCCTTCTTCTTTCATTCACTTTCTTTTTAATGTACTTATGTACTCCGGCTGTCATTTAATTTTAGTCTATTTACCAGTAAGTAAATTGTTAAAAGTTAAAATAAAAATCTAGATCACCGACGACACCTACAACTCCGACGAACAAATAAGTAAACTGTTAAAAGTTAAAATAAAAATCTAGATCACTGACGACACCTACAACACCGACGATACTGACAATACCGACAACATACTTGCTACAAGATGTTTGGTTACATTATGTATGGAGCCATAAGGTAAGTTTCACCCATTTTATTATTAGTTTGATAAATGGTACTAAAGGCTTATTATTTATAGCATTGTCGCGGGCTACTTATATCCGGCATATGCCTCCTTCAAAGCAATTAAAGCAAATAACACGAAAAGTACAATGTCATGGTTGATTTACTGGATTGTTATGGCTTTGTTCTCAGTTGTGGAGGGAACTGCAGATAAATTTGTCTTTTGGTACGTTTAAGTTTTAAGATTAATTTATTTTTTTCACCGTTATGATAATCAAATGTATATCCTTTCTAGGTTCCCTTTTTATTACGAGATGAAGATGGTATTCGTGCTGTGGTTGATCCTCCCTCAAACACAAGTAAAATTAAATTATTTTTTAAAAAACCAGTTTAGTTCATTTCTTGGTAATTGATTATACTAAAAATTGTTTAAATCGGTTACGACAGGGAGCCACAATTCTCTATGATTCTTTTGTTGTTCCAACCTTAACACGTCATGAGAAAGCTATTGACAAAGCATTAGGAGTGGCACAAGAACAAGCAACAAATAAGGGGATAGAATTAAGCAAAGAAGGAATAGCTAAGTTGTACCAAATAGCTGCTGAGGGTCTTCTAAAGGTTAGTCACAATTATACAGTGTTGGTTAATGACTTTATGTGACCTTATGACCAGTCACCCCAGTTACCTAATGGCTTTAAGCGTACTTAAGTCATTACTTACGGATGATCCTGAAAATTCTACCAGAATTATGTAAATTATTTAAGCTGGTCGGCCCGAATTATGCCTTAAACAAAATGATATGGCTAGGTCATTTGCCAACATTGTAGAATGTTAAAGATTTAATTTAATTCGCATTTTAACTTTTCTTAAATGCAATGCATTTATCATTAACTTTTGTTAAATATGCAGACTGGCTTATATACGCCTGAGACAACTACTAGTCAAGCTCCACTCAAGTCTAAGGAAAAAAATCAAGAGAGTAGTTTGTTTAAGTTCAATATTATTTCGTAGAACAATGCCTTCCTTATGATATGTATATTTAGTAGAAACTTTATAATAATTCAAATTGAAATAATAGATTGAAAACAGAATAAGACGAAAACGAATTCAATTACTTGTAATATTTTTCTCTAAAACAACCACGTGACAAGTAACGGGAGAAAGCGAGATAAAGTGATAATAATCAGAATTTCCAGTTATATAAATGTTTAATTTGTAAATTTACTTTGGCCGATCGATATATTATTTGGTAGATGCATACTGTAACTTTCTTTGT